AGTGAAATGATCCCATACCTCTGATCTGTCCTGCATTTTTGCCCTCTTGTGTTTTTCTTTCCCTTTTGTGGTTGCATCATTGTTCTCTTGTTGCCTTAGAGATGGAGGATTTGTATTGCCAACCTTGATTGCATTTTGATCTTTATTTACACCTTCCCCAACTTCATAAAGACCAATTAGTCAAAGCCTATACAGATAACAAATGGTCAACTTAATGGGTGTATAATTTTTCTTTGCAAAACTAATATGATTGCCACATCAGCAAATTACCCTTAATGACCAAATTATTATATCATAATTCATGCCTATTATTAATAAAAAAATTAATGATTCATAAATTAGGAAAGATGCAAAACCAACGAAATAAAGTTTAAATCAATAAAAAACTTCATAGTCTTGTAGAATTTATGTCTATTATTAATAAAAAAATTATTGATTCATAAATTAGGAAAGAGGTGAAATCAATGAAACAACTTGATAGAGTTGAAATTAATAAAGAAAACTTCATAGTCTTGGAGAATTCAATTCAGTTGCATTATTGCAACTCTTATTGATAGAGTTGGAAACTTGAAATCAATGGAAGAGGTGAAATCAATGAAATAACTAAATAGGCTATAGGATTGCAAACAATAGAGATGCACTTATATAAGGAACAAGGAATTAAATATAAGAAATCAGTTATTATTATACTATAAAATCACTGAATGGATTACGAACAAGATAATGCAATTATATAAGGAACAAGGAATTAAATATAGCAACTATAACCCAAAGAAACCAATGAATTTAGCTACAGAGTATTAAAACAAAACTATAAATGGAAAAGAGTATGTATTGTTTTTTTTTTTGGAAAAGAGTGTATAATGGAACTACAATAAAATACGCAAGATTAATCAAAGCAACAAATTAGATTCTTCAATCGAAACCCATTGAAAACAATAGAGGTTTTACGTGAGAGGAGACTAAATAATGAGAAATGAGAGCAATGAACAAGGAAGAATGATGTTTAAAAACAACTCAATGACTTATAACATGAATGACAGTGAGACAAATATGCGAAACAACTGCCATTTTATTATAAAAAAGGGAATATGCAAAATAAGTAAGTGACTTACAGACCAAGTTCAAATAAATTACAAAGGACTACATTTTATTATATTATAAAAAATGAGTATGCAAATTGCAAAGCAGGTTAAGTCAAAAATGCAAATTCAATAGATACACCAAGGGAACAGTACAAATTTGCAGCAATCATAGTTTTGACTTTTGAGAAAGTTAACTAGAGTTTATATTCTAACAAAAAAAAAAAAACTATACTTTATATAATGCAATAAGTAAGTAGAGCTGCATTTATGTTCATTATTGACGTGGTGTTGATAGAAATTTAAAAGAGTGAGCTTGAACAACACACACAAAAAAAAACAACATATAAGTATAAAACCAATAAATAATAGACAAGATTGAAAACCACGGGAAAATATAAAAGTGAATTCACAGTCCCTCTTATGAGTCACTCGGTTCAGTCTGAGTCTCCTTTCCTCCTTTTTCACAGAGTCACAATACTGGCTGTCCCCACTCTAAGACTCTTGTCAATTCAGTTTGAGTATGTGAGGTGGCGTTTGATAAATCTGAAATTTCATATATGAAAAAGTTAAAAATATATTTTTTTTGTCTGAAACCTGAAAGGAAGCATAGGTGCTTTTATACTTTTTGGAGGCTCTTAATCCATAAGTTTGTTTGTGTTGGATCAACCCTTTACCATATGAAATTTACTGGTTTTACTATTTTACCCCTATAACATACTATTTGGAAATGTTGAGTTCAATTTGCATTATCTCATAAAAAATAAATTTCAACCTCAAAATAATGTTGAAACAATACAAATAATAAATAATAAATTAATAAATGAAATGATTAAAATTAAAAGAAAATAATTAATGACTATAAAAATATTAAAATAATTAATAATACTAATACTAGTTTCTACTACTAGTACTACTACTACTACTACTACTACTAGTACTACTACTACTACTAATAATAATAATATTATTATTATTATTATTATTGTTATATTACTCACCAAACCGCCATTGCTGCAAATTACAGCGACGATGGTGGTGGCGGGAAGACAGGGAGAGAGAGAGAGAGAGAGAGCCACCACTACAATTTGTAGAAAGGGAAGAGAGATAGATAGATAGAGAGGGAGGGAGGGAGAGGGAGAGGGGGGAGAGAGAGAGAGAGAGACACTGCAACTTGCAGTGATAGTGGCAAAAAGATAGAGGAGAGAGAGGAAGCGAAAGAGATAATCACCATTGCAAGACAGGGCGGAGAAATAGAGAGAGAGAGAGAGATGTACAAAGACGACTGAGAGAGGTCGAATGGGGAGCGATATTTTTTACTTTAGGTCACACTTGAAACACGTTTGGACGCGTTAAGTGATGGGCTTGAGTCTTAAAATTTCAGATATGAAAAAAAAAACTTTTTAGAACGTATTTCTTGTGCAACACCAAACAAAGGTGGCGTATGAAAAAACAATATTTTTAAATTCATATGTTTGAAAAGTGCAATCAAACGCCACTTGAGTGCCTCTTTTCCTCATCTATTTCAGAGTCACAAAGTCATAGTATTGGTTGACGGTTGCCCCTAGCATATCTTATATGAGTCTCTTGGTTTAGTTTGAGTGAGTCTCTTTTCCCAGTTTGGCAATCTACCTTGGAAACTACGAAAGTGGGAAGTGGATACCAGAAAGTCTAACGGTCTCTTTTCCTAGTTAGGAAGTCTGCCATGGAAATCGATAGGGGTGTAAACGAATCAAATTCAAAGTGAATCAAGATATATATCCGAATTTAAATTTGGTTGCATAAGTAAAGATTCGAATTTGATGCTATATTCGTCGAATATTTAAAATCAATAATTGAATTCAAATTCGAGTGAATAATCGAATATTCGACCGATTCGAATTCAAATGTTTAGGTTTGGCATACAACATAAAATTCTAATTCTAATAAAAATAAAGAAATTGGGGGATAAATGAAAGATGAGCACTTGAAGCAAAATCTCGTTGTTCCAAACCCAAAAAACAAGCTACCTATTTATGTTTGTGAATTAAAATACAATAATATTTCTTAGAATCAAAATATGGTAGCTATAATTTTGACAAATCTAAACCTAAATTCAACAACCATTCCATAGTAAAGATTAAGCAAAAGAATAAATAAAAAAAGCTACAAACACTATAAAATTTATAGAAGATAAAACAAAAAGAACAAGTTGGAATCAGACCTTAGTTGATCAGTTGATCAACGATTGTTGCTAATGCTCGTTGTCATCCATGCAAAGTCGTCGACAACAACCGCATCTTAGACAAAAATGGCCTCAATGTGGACATCGGCCTTTGCTTAAAAGCTACTAATAATACTGAACTTTGTGAAAAATGTTACAGTAGCGTAGGTTTCTCCAATTTGTTCGTTCACCATTTTGCCTGTGCAAAGATATTAGTTCTAAACTTTGTGAAGGAAAGTTGCAGCGACAAGATTTCTCAACTCTGTTTGCCAAAGGCAAAGATGAGGGTTAGGGACTTTTGGTCTTGAGTTTAGAGTTGGATTTTCAAATGAGAAAGGAGATTTCTTAGAGAGCTCACTAATTTTTTGGGGAAGGGGATTTGTTGGAGGATGTGCCGGATTTTCGAATGGGAGAGAAGATTTGTTGGAATGTGTGTAGGGTAGAATTGTTTTACCTTTATACATTTAAACTATTAAAGAAACATAGATACAATGGGGTTATGCATGTAAATTTATATAGTATATTAACATATGTAATTACAATTAGTTTGGATATATATCGGATTGAATCAAGTCAAATTCGAATTCGATATGATTAAATAAGTGATATGAAAATTAAATTCAAATTCAACTATTTATTCAATTCGAATATCCAAATTCAAATCATTTCAGTCAAATCTCGAATTTGGAATCGAATTTTCTATACCATTTACAGGCCTATAAACTGGAAAGTCTATGTCTCTTTTCCCAGTATGTTTAGTCTGTTTACTTGTGTGAAAATATAAATGGGAAGATGAAGAGCCGAACCAAGTAATAATTATATATAATATTAGATCAGTTGGAAAGTTTTACCAAACCGAACTGAAAACCGAATTTATTGAATACCAAAAACCAAAATGAACCGTTATCCAAATTAATTAAACCGAACTTGCCTATTCAGTTCGGTTTTTGGTTCGTGAACAAAAAATGAACATCCCTAAGAAGAATAGGTAAAGGTAGAAGAACATAGGTCGGAGTCAGGTAAGCACTTTTAGGTCTTTTAAATCTAATAGAGAAGAAGAAAAGGGTTCTTCTAGCTCTAATGGAGCAGTTGCAAGTTTGATTAGTAGCGGTACATGAAATAGGGAGCAATGTTGGGAACGCTAACATGCATCATTAGGAGTATTTTATTATTTTTTGTTAAGACTTATTAACATAATTAATCTAGATTACTAAATTATTTTTATAATAAATTATTAAAATAAAAATTAATTATTTTAAACAATGTTGTATTCCTTCATGATCAATTTCTATTATTTCACTTTATCTTAATAAATCTCGTACATGGCACACGGATTCCCGCTAATGTCACATTAAGAATGCTCATGAATCCAGGTTTCTTCCCAAGCAAGTGATTTCAAAAACAGCTCGCATCTACTTTTAAGAATGCCCACAATTAATGTGGAGAAAGAGATTAAAGGGGAGTAAAGAAAATTATTGATTCCGTTGTCTTTGATAGTCCATTAATCCTGCTCCGCTCGATGGAGTGATGATATCCCAATCGCTGGAAGTAATGTGAGATTTAGGACCCACATCTTAAATGCTTAACCCGATACAGTGAGATGTCAACAAAAGGGTGACACGTGATCCATGCAAGCGCAATGACCAAAAGCTCCTCGACATGTCCCTCTATCTCCCTGCTAACTTGTACGACACGTGCATACTCGCCATCATCTTACCAGAAAAAAAAGCTCAGCTGCCTTTTGCTGCAAGTTATCAAGTAAAAATCAACGCATTCAAAATCCATATGTGAAAGCCCCAAAGACTGGAAGCTTGGAGAAAAGTTGCAGAGAGAGAGAGAGAGAGAGAGGTTCGCCCTTCAGTGGAGTCTTATAACATTCCACACTCATCGTATATTAATTATTTCAATACAAGCAGTGGAGTTCAGCATCGACGCAACCTCTTGAACTGTGGAATTTCGCTTCGTCCTGAATTTGCAGCGTAAGCTTTCAGCTTAAGTCTTCGTGAATTCCGACTAAAATGGCTAGAACCAATCAAGAAGCAATCGAGACTTTCATGAGCATCACCGGCGCCTCCGAGGCAGTCGCGTTGCAGAAGCTTGAAGTATGTATTCCCCTCCAATTTCGAATTCCTTTGTTTTCTCTTAAATTGTTTAGGGTTTATGGTTCAATATTGAAGCCTTGTTCTATTTCATTTGATATTAACTCTAATTGGGAGAGTGTTATAATATGTTATTAGGGTTTACGTTTCTTTGGAATTTACCATTGCCTGGGATGTTTTCAGTGTGTTATGGTTCTGACTTCTGGTTTTCATTCTTAATCTTAGGCTTGTTTTATGTTAACATCATAATTTTTTTTCATATTTTTGAATGCGTAGTAACAAATCCATGTGGCGGATTCTCTATTTTATTGGCGATGGACCGTTTAGCTCTACTGCGATTGGCAAGTTTGCGTGGTTTGGAGAACATATGAATCGAGGCAATGGAATAATTTGTTATTGGATTAGGAGATTTGGAGTGTGGCTATATAAAACTATAGGTGAATGGAGTCTTTTTTCCCTCCATCATCTAGGAAAAACAGCCTCTAGAATCCGTACTCGATTCTAGGTTAAAATCTGACTTGATGATTCCCGCTCTCAAGCTTTCACGTATGGGTCCACATAGGAGTTGACTCGCCCTGTGCTTATTCATTTGACTGCATTTAGGAAGGTAAAAGTGTGGATGGCCTGAGTGCTTACTGATTAGCATGATGGAATTGGAACTGAAGCAGGGAATTTGTATTCAGGGAGGAATAGAGAATAAGAGAATGCACTATGTTAAATTGCACAATTTTCTAAGTAGTTTTATTTTGGATTTTTCAATGTCTTTCAACAGAGTATCTGCAACAACGACTGGTTTATGTATGGTTGGTCAGATGTAATCATTTAATCCAAATGCATATGTATCTAAATCTTCTGAGGTGCTAGGTTTTCTCACACCAACAACGAGATGCTGGTTAGCATCTCACACCAACAACGACTGGTTTATGTATGGTTGGTCAGATGTAATCATTTAATCCAAATGCATATGTATCTAAGTCTCAGCTATGTGTATCTTTTCTCGTCATTCTGTTCTGTTTAGTGCCATGTCGATTGTTAAATTGTGCGCTTATTGGACTAACTTATTTACCCACCCCGTCCAAAAGGACGTGAGAACCCTTGCCCATTTCCTGACACAACTGAGTTTAACTGTGGCTTGTAACTTCTGAGGGACGCTGTAGTATACCCTTGCCCATTCGACACTACATCCATGTTAAGGTGTAGTGCATCATTTTCGGGGATGCCCTAGCACGAGCACAAAAAGGCAATTCAAGATCCATAACCATAAAAGTTTTGTGCCAGCTGCCAACCTGAAACAGTCCTCCTTTATTCAGGCTTGGGACCAGTAGTGCAAGACAAATTCACATCGGTGGAGTTATCACTTTTTATTTTTATATACATGTAAAAAATCATCACTGATTGGACAATAGATCATGAATGAAAAATTTGTATCTAGTGTATTTCTCCATATATTCAAAGTACAACAAATATAATTGTTATATCTTTGAGGTTTTTGTTGAGAAGTTTACTCTTGTGATCTTGTCTTGTGTATGCTGATGTGTCATCCTATGTTCTTATATGCCTTATTTTCCAAGCTGTACTTATATTAGTAGGCAGCAGGGTACTTTTTTTTATCAATAACAGTAACGTTTCATTAAGAAGAAATAGTCAATTACAATGGTAGGGGGAGGTAAACTCTCTTAACTCTTCCCCCAAAAGATACAACATTACAAGGTAGCCCAAAGTAACTGATTCCTTCCCACCCCTTGTTTAGCTAGTGCATCTGCAAATGAATTGGCACATCTTTTTATGGTTTTACCCATCGTACTCTCACCTCATACCCTGAGTTAGCCACGTGAAGTGTCTTCGTTCATTAATGTATGTCCACAATCCGTCACCTTCCTTCCCTAACCAACCTATTACCACTTTAGAATCTCCTTCAATGATCAGCTTGTTAACATTTCATTCCTTAGTTCACACTTTCCATCAAAACCATAATTTCTGCATGCAATGAGTTCCCCACACCAATTGGGCCTGAGAACAAAGCTATGATTGAACCTTCCTCCATAGTCCATCCTAAAAACTCCACCAATCCCTGATGGACCAGGGTTACCTTCATTGCTTCCATCAAAGTTTAGCTTAACGAAATCTGCACAAGGTGGAGACCATAGAGGTTGAGCGACACTTCTGCTTTGGGCTGATGCTGCCACTTCCTCTCAGTTGTTTAGCAATGTCTCTGTATGAATTTCCTTGAATATCTACACTGTTTTTACCCAATGTATCGCCCCAGAAATGATCACTTCTATGATTGTCTCTCTGCTTCTCTCTTTTTTCAGCAAAAGTTCTTTTGTTTCTTTCATCCCAAACTGTTCAACAAACTGCTGCTCTAGTACATCTCCACAATATTTTCCCCTCTTTTTTGTCCAGCTACCAGTAGAAGAATCAAAGAGGCTTTGTAGACTTGGTGGGCAGAGTCCACCTACCACCAAAGACAGAAAGAACCCAAACCCAAATAGAAGAAACAAAGGGGCAGGAGATAAATAAGGGGTAACAAGACTCACATTGGCTTTACAAAGACTACACCAGTTAGGAGACAAACACCAAAAAGACTTCTTTCTTTGAAGTAGGCAGCAGGGTACTTTTGTTATTGTACTCACATCATATACATAATAAAGGATAGGGTTGCACATGCATTCCTAAGATGATTCTTTGTCCTTATTCCCTCTTTTCTCATTCTCTCTCATCTCTCTTCTCTTGTTATTGATTCTAATCTCTCTCTCTCTCTCTCTCCTTTTTGATTAGAACTCTAATCCAGTCATACTTTCAAGTGTTTTTTCATGAGGGGATGAGTCTTCTAGTTGGGTCATATGGTGACCTATAAATTATAAAAAATCTTCCATGTGACAATTTAGTTGTGGGACTAAAGAGGTCTCTACATGTTTGTCTTGTCATCCTCTATTCATGGAGCAAATTTCAGCCCCAAAGCACCCACTTATAGTAAGGTTTATAAATTTCAGCCCCAAATGGTGCATAGGGCTGACATAGACTAGAGAATTGATCACTTGGACAATCTCACAATCCAAAGGGCCTTTTACATGGTGGATGGCATATATAATTTATATAAAGGTATACAACACTGCTATAATCAACATTATGCATTATTCATATAAAACATGATTTCTTTTGAGGTGAAAAAAGGTAACAGAAATGAACTTTTCTATTTGTCAAAATTTAAGGCACCTGCCATGTTCCTACTTGGTTCTCTTCCTTGTGACATATTTTTCATTGCTTTGTCTTTCATATTGTTTCTCTTTAACTTCTTGTTTGACTTCTCTTAGCCCATAATCTAAGCCTTGTCCCAGCTATATGGAGTTGGGTACTTGAATCCTGTTTTGCCATTCCATTCAGTTTAGTGCCATATCCATTGTTAAATCACATGTGCTTAAATCATTTCTTATCTTCAACCAATGCTCTTTTAGTCGAACCCTAGCCCATCTAGCCCCTTCAACTTGCAATAACAAATCACATCTTATGGGTGCTTCAACCGATGCTCTTTTACTCTGAGGGTCCTTTGAATGACTATTCAACATTTTTCTCTATACAACATTGTTGGCCTTGTAATATTTTATATAAATTTCCTTTTTACTCGAGTGGTGTTTGCCTATCACATAATTGTTTGGATTCTCTTCTTCATTTTGCCCTTCCTGCTATAATTTGATGGGCGCCATCCTCAATATTTTCCTTCTAACGAATTACCAAACTAAGGTAATTGAAGAAGTTAAATTGAGTTATTGCCGGTGGCCCCTGGAATGAGAGAGGTTATGGCATGATGTGGTGGAGTGTATTAATGGATGTTCAGAGAGTGGGTGGGATACTAGTGTAACACGGAGGGCTAATTTGGCAACACCTTGTGAGGCTATTCACAAAATTCTTTCTAATTTGCTTTGTCTCCTTGATAAGGTTTGGTTGGATCTTTCTATGCTAGACAAAAGGGTTTGGATTTCTAGTCTCAATGGAACTTTCTCCTGTGTTTCTTTCTTTAAGTCCCTTTTCTAGTCTCCCATTCAACAGGTTTTCCCTATCAAAGAAGTTTGGTGTAGGCCGGTTCCCCCTAAGATTATGGATTTTTGTTGGGAAGTGTTCCATGGGAAAGTAAACACCTTAGATAACCTACAAAAGAGAAGACCTTTCTTTTGTATTTTCACCTAGCTACTGTACTCTTTGCAGATCTCACACAAGGTTCAAAAAATCGATACGATATGCCCCGTATTGAGCATATCTTATCGTATCTTTTGGTTTCTGAAACACCTGTTTACAGGTGTTTCGGGACCCCACCTTTTTTTAATAAAAAAACCCTTTTTTAACTCCCCAAAAACCACAATTCGAAAAAAAAAAACTAAAAAAAAGCTAATTCCGTGTGTATCTAAGTACTGATATGCCTCTGCCTCTGCGTATCGATACTTTGAACTATGATCTCACGATGAGGATTGCTACCACTTACTAATCTCCTATTCTTTCACTGCAGAGTTATGGGATTGGCTTTTCTCAATGTTTGGGTGCGGGTGGAATATGGCAGTGGAAGTAAACATGACCTTTAACCCTTCTACCTTCACTTGGCCTCAAACAAGAGGAAGAATTATGTGGATATGTGCCAGAGCAGCTTTTATTTGGACAATTTGGGAAGAAAGGAAAGCTAGGATTTTCCAAGAGAAGGAAAGGAGTAACCAAGCTTTGAAGGAATGTGTGCTAAATAGGGCAATACACTGGTTAAAGATTGTAGAACTCTTCCACCAATTCTCTTTTACTGACTTGTGGAAAATCTGGTTAGCAGTAGCAAGGTGCGCCTCTTTTAAAAATAGGGTAATTACAAGTAGGCTCCCTCTTCTGAAGGTTCACTGAAGCTGAATTTTGATGGGAGTATTAGGGAAAACCAAGGCTCCCTGGAATGGGAGGAGTCTTGAGGAACGAGATTGGAGAGGTTGTTTTTCTCTACTTGGGTCCTTTTGGGTTTTGGGGATTCTGTTAGGGCAGAACTACTAGCTTCCATTACAAGGAGTGCAATATGCAAATGAATTGGGTGTAGAGCAACTGTTAATTGGGTGAAGAATCATAAGGATGTTGTGTGGTGTTACAAGAATGAATTCAAGAAATTCAAGTGGCTGACAAGGAATATGTTTATAACAATACAGTGGGTGGGGAGATCAGCAAATGCCTTGGCTGATTACTTGGTCAAACAAAGGGCAAATAGGGAAGTTATATTGGACCCTAGATTGGCTAGTTTTTTGGACCCTTGTGCTCGAAAGAATTGAGAAGCAGCTGGCTGGATGGAAAAGGAACTATATATCGATGGGGGGGGGAGGTTAACTCTTATTAAGTCCACCCTTGCAAACCTTCTAGTGTACTACATGTCAGTGTTTAGGATGCCCCAAGAGATAGTGAGGAAAATTGAAAAAATCATGATGGACTTTCTCTGGGAGTCACGGGAAAAGAAGAAAGATCACTTGGTTAGGTGGGACAAGGTGGTGAAATTAAAGGCAGAAGGGGGGTTGGAAATTGGTAGTGTCAAGCTGAAGAATATGGCTCTGCTTAGCGAATGGCTTTGGTGATTCCCTAATAAGAATGACAAGCTATGGCACAAAGTTGTTGCAAGCGTTCATGGCATATCTAGCAATGGGATGTTGGTTGTCTTTGTAGAGCTACCTTGGCTTCTCCCTAGAAGGTCCATGAGATTCTTCCTACCTTCCTAAATCATGTCAAGTATGACTTGGCTTTGGGTAATTGTGGAAAAGTTTGGAACTAGAAACTATGGATGGGACCCTGGACCTACACCCACTTCTGCTGGTTGCTCAGTTTGGAAAGGAATTGAGAAGGTTTATCCTCTTTTTGTCCAAGGGATTAGGTAAAATTAGGGGATGGCAACAAGATTAGTTTCTGGTGAGACACTTGGTGCAATGGTTCTTCTCTAATGGAGACTGTCCCTTCTCTATTCCTTATAGCAGAAGACAGGGATGTGATGGTGGCAGATCAGTTTGAGTGGCATGGAAACTCAGGATACTGGTGTCCAAAGTTTAGGAGGCATCTCAATGATTGGGAAGTCTCTGATCTGTTAGAGTTGCTCCAATTAATTCAGGACTATCAACAGAATCCAAATCAGCAAGATTCCAGAATTTGGAAGTGGACTAGGGATGGGATTTTCTCAGTGAAGTCTTTTTATTTAAAACTGAGTGCTGGTTCATCTCAGGCTTTTCCGTGGAAAGAGATTTGGCTCCCTCACATTCCTACTAAAGTCTCCTTCTTGGTCTGGACAGCAGTTCATGGTAAATGTCTTTCCAAGGAGCAGCTAATCAGGAGGGGTCTGGTGCTGCCCTCCATAAGATGTGTGATGTGTAGTGGAGAAGATGAATCTGTGGATCACTTATTTATTCATTGTGAGGTTGCCCATCTGCTGTTCAGTCATTTCTGCTCCCTGTTAAATGTTAGGTGGTGCTGCCCCAAATCTTTAGCTGACCTGCTTTTCTCTTGGAAGTTGACGGGCTTAAGCAGCAGGGGTAAGGTTCTGTGGTGTACGATCCCTCATGTAGTGTGCTGGGTCCTGTGGAAAGAAAGACATAGTAGGATTTTTGAAGGTCAAAGGTGCTCCTTAGATGAGTTGGTGGTTCGGGCAATGGCTACTATACATTCCTGGCTGTAAGCCAAGGACTCTTTTAAGCATATCCAACACCATCAGTATTTTGATCTGGGTTTTTTTACTTGATTTAGTTGGGGCCTTGGGGGTCTCTTGTATGTATTCCGGAGAGACTAGTTTTTGTTGGCTTTTTGTATAGTTTCTGGCTGTACATGGAGTTTTTGTGGACTGAAGGGTGTTATGTTTTACAGTTATACTCATTAATACAATTACCTTACTTTTTCTCAAAAAAAAATGGTTTTGGGAGGATGTTTGGGTTGGGGATGTCCCTTCGGATGAGAGATTTTCTTCTCTTTGTGACCTGTTCAGTTTTAAAGGGTAGACCTATATCTGATTTTTTGACCCAACAGCTTCATCCTTCTGGGTTGAATTGGAACTTTGGCTTTAACAGGAACCTTAGAGAAGCTGAAATCCCTATTGTGTCCGAGTTGCTTGGCTTGTTGAATATTTTTGGGTGAAGGGGGTATGGATTCCAGGGTTTGGGGCTTAAACTCTGATGGTCTGTTCTCTTGTAAATCTTTCTTCAATTCTTTGGTTGCCACTTCGTCCTCTCCTTTCCCATATAAGGAAATTTGGTGCTTTCCCATTCCCCCAAAAATCAGTTCTTTCTATTGGGAAGTGTTTCATGGCTGTATTAATACTTGTGACTTGCTTCAAAGAAAAAGACCAACTTGGTGTTTGTCCCCCAGCTGATGCGTGTTATGTGCAAGTTAAGTGGTGAAACTACCTTTCATCTCCTTATCTCTTGCCCTCTTGTTAGCTTTATTTGGAATTGGTTTTTCTCCCTCTTTGGATGCCTTTGGTCTCCTCCTGACAGGTTGGAAGGATTGCTTAGCCTTCCTGTTTTTAGCTGTACTAAAAGGAGGGGTAGGATCCTGGGGAGATGTACGAGAACAGCGATACTATGGACAGTTTGGGAGGGAAGAAATTCAAGAATATTTGAAGAAAGAGAAAGGGGTAAGGAAGCCTTGGTGGAAGTCATAACCTTAAGAGTGATACAATGGGCAAAAAGTTTGAAACTGTTTTACTCGTAAAAAAAAAAGTTTGAAACTGTTTTCAGACTTTAAGGTTGAAGACTTTTTTGGGGCATGGACTGTTATTGTTGTTTCATCTTCTGGAAGACAGAAACCTGCTGAGATGTGGTCACCCCCATTATGCGACTAGAAGAAACTGAATTTTGATGGGAGTTGTTTGGGTAACCCGGGCCCCTCAGGCATGGGGGGGGGGGGTAATTAGGGATGGGGAAGGAAACATCATAGCCTTATACTTGGGGCCTTCTGAACAAGGTGATGTGGTAAGAGCAGAACTATTAGCTGCATTATACGGGGCCGAGAAGGCAAAGGAGTTGGGTATCGATAACCTAGTCATTGAGAGTGATTTGGGAACTGTTGTGGACTGGCTGAAGGAAGGAGAGGGGGTGACATGGCATCTGAGGAATGACTTCAGGCGTTTTAAATGGTTAGCAAGGACTTGACTATCAGAGTTAAGTGGGTGAGAAGAACTGCCAACAGCTTGGCAGATGGTCTAGCTAAGCAAGGGGTACACAGGACTCAATTGTATTGGGCTCAATTGTAATATACTAATATCTGGGTGGGGTCAGCTTTTCCATAGCTGTGCTTTTCTTCTTTTTTCACAACCTCTTGTTGTACTCATGGCTATTTTTTATTGATGAAATCATTTCTGTGTTTCTGATAAAAAAAAGAATTGCTATTTTTTCACATAATATACATGCTGAATGGTATGTAAAACTAGGGAGCTAACCAAAAGTTAGTAAAGCTAGTTTTTTATATTATAAAATTTTTATTGCCTAGGTGCCCCAGTGTTGCCCAATATCGCCTAGATGCCTTGAAAACTATGGTGTCAAAGTACAATGTTATGTAAAGGTAGTGGACTTGAAGATGCTGTTATCACCATAGTTCAAAGTATCAATATGCTTGGTACTCATTTTTTTGAGTATCAAGTGTCTTATCAGCTCGATACTTATTTTTTTTAGTTTTTCAGTTCCATACTTTGTAAGTATGTAGTTATGTATATTATCATGATTATTATAATTTAAAACTATTAAATAAACTTGGTTTTAAGTATTTCATGTATTGATGAAGTCCAGATCTGCTGACCACAACGCATTGCTGGCCACGTTCACCCAGCCACACATCGGGATTCGGGAGTTGTGGTCAGCAGATCAGTACTCATATTGATGACCCTGAAAACCGATACATATTGTATGATACACACCAATATTGCGATACTTAGAACCATGGTTATCATATTTTTGTTTCTAGTGAGAAAGAATTGCTGTTTCTAGATCTTTTTCTTTAACTCCTAGTCTAACAGGTTTGGTTCTTTTGAAGTGTTATCTACCTAATATTCTGTAAGGGTAATAGATCTGAAGATGCTGTTATCACCATCATTCAGAGTATTGAGATACTTGATACTTAATTTTTTGAGTGTCAAGCGTCTAATCAGCTTGATACTTACTTTTTTTTTAGTTTTTCAGTTCCATACTTTGTAATGTATATTATCATGATTATTATAATTTAAAACTATTAAATAAACCTGGTTCTAAGTATTTCACATATTGATGACCCTGAAAACTGATATGTATTGTATGATGCACACCAGCATGTTGTGATACTTTGAACCATGGTTATTACATTGTTTGCTTCTTGTGGTTGGCTTTTTCTTTTACAAAACATCTGTCACATGCCTGTCCTTACTTTTATACCTTCCAATCTGCTCAACATTCTTTGTTGTTGACCATTTTGTTTTATCATTCTGATGTTATATAGCTTCTTGTTGGTAACTTTACATAAAATTTCTTCATTCTTATACATCTGATTAATAATCAGGAACATGGTGGTGATCTCAATGAAGCAATCAATGCACATTTCAATGAAGGGGATAGAAATACGTATGTAACATTGTGACTTTCTTCTTCGTCTGGTCCCTTGATACACACCTTCTCTTTCCTAAGTTCTTAACTTGTGATTTTCCAGCACACGCCAAGCATCTGCACCTGCTCATCAAAATGATTTCATGGACATAGATGATCCTCATGAAGTTGAACAAGAGGGACCTTCTCCGCTTTTATCTGCTTTTAGACATTTGAGCCAGTTGAATAGAAGCCTTTTTGAGGGAGGGGATAATTTTCCCAGCCATGCACCCTTTGTTTCTCATCCAAAAGAGGTCAGGGAGATTCCCATAGAGGTCAAGGATGGGAGTAACCAGGCTGGTTATTCTGGATCTGGGCCTACCATTGAGGATGTCACTGGAACTGCTCATGCTCATGGCCCAGAAATTCGTGGCAATGTCATAATTGATGATGAAGAGAATGAAGATATTCCTACTGCTCTTCCTGACCATATTGCAGGTCAGAATGAAAGACAACATAACTTTTCAGCTGGCAGTCTTCATCAGAGTGATTACAGACCGAGTGCTCCTGCGGTAGACAGTATGACTGACAATAATGATATAGAAGAAGAAATGTTACAAGCTGCCATTGAAGCTTCTAAGCGGGAGATTCAAGAGCGCTACTCCAATCAACAAAGTTCTCCCAATGTATGTAAAAGTAACCATGGCCATTGTTTTCCACTTCCCCATTTTATCTTGACCTTTTTCTAACTTGATGCAGGACTCATCTGGTCCTGGTATTGAGCCAAGACAGTCTCACCTGGCAGATGCTGACTTTGAACGTGCAGTTTCATTGTCGTTGAAGGTTCTTCAATTTTGCCATTTGTTTTCATTTTTGCATTCCCTGTTTCCATGTTAATGCTCCCCTTTGAACATGATTTGTTTTTAGACAGCGGAGCAAGAGAAAGCATTGCGCGAGCAAGAAGGGCTGGCCGTAGCAGCACAGCAACCAAGTATTTTTGGACCAGCTGATGTGGAAGAGTTGGGACCAGTAACAATGGCAAATGGAAGGTGTATATCTTTTATTGCTTTTGTGCATGTTTCTATGCCTTTATGCATTATGCTCTGCACACATGTACACATATAAGCAATGTTTGGAAAATCATGATTGTATTGTAAATTAAAAGGGGGTTTGAATTAAATTGTGTCATAAATCATAGTTTTTTTTTTTTTTTTAAATTTTTCTAGAAGTCATAAAATATAAAGAAATACTGGAATTTCTCAAAAACTGGAAATTTGTCTTTGCATCAACTTCAGCTATAGGCATCACATGAATATGTACTAATGACAATTCTCAAAAAATGGAAATTTATACTAATGACCAACCATTTAATTGTTCCAGAGTTAAGAAAAAAAAAGAAGAAAACGTTACTGTTCTCTAATCTCTACTGACAAAATGCATAAAGAACACTAAAACAAAGGGCTTCAACAAAGAGGGCGTGTAGAATAGAATAATTCAAGAAAAAATTATGTCATCTTCATGTGAACAAGAATTGAATAAACCAAGACAACTTGTATAAGAACTGAATAATTCAAGAATAATCATACAGTTTTTTCATATTCGTGTTGCAAGTTCAGTTTAATATCTCAGAATGAGAACAATATTGTACCAAGTTGAAAGCCAACATTTTTCGCAATCTCAATATGGATTAAGAATGTTATTCACTTTTTGGCTTCTGATGTTATAAGAAGTGGACGAGAACAAGATTCTATTAGAGAACAGTCTGTAATGTACTGGGATAGCCAAGAAAACAGAGTCAATCTGAACAACTAAAGAGTCATCGAAACTAACCATGCTTAGATATGCTAAAAAAATTACATTAAAGTTCTGTTTTAGAACAATAATGTAACCACCTATGAGAAAAAGTGCAATACTTTGTTACTTAAATCATGGCATATGTTGAATGTTAGGAAAGTCCTAGAAAAATGTAGGTGGAGCTCCTTTTATATCACATAAAGGTCATTGTTGCATTTATCACGTTGAAACAAAAAAGGAGATGGATATGTGAAGCACAAAAAGAGAAAGAAGCTAAAAAAATCAACATACCTGTTTGGTAACATGCACATACCCCCTCATTAAATAAAAATAAAGTTTAAAATAAGTCTTGAAATGCCTTTTACTCTTTATAACAGTAGTCATACTAAATCATATGATTCGATCATGTCCTGGCTCACAATTCAACTCAACAATTTGCTCATAAATCATATGATAATTCCAAAGAATAGTTTTATCTTGTAATTTAAATCTTTTTAGTTGCAATTCTATTTGAATCATACGGTTTTAAAAACATTGCATATAACACTGATCTATAGGCATCTAATCTTGTTTGAAGGTTTGGGTAGTGTTCTATTACACTTTTTGCGTTCCTGATTTGTGGTTTTCTTTTCCCTGGTGGAGGCAAGGGTTTGGTTCCTTTAACAGGGGAACCTCTGGCCAATTTAATCTGGAGGCAGGAAGCTCATCTCTCCAAGATGAGGCTGAGGATGTGGAAGAACTGCCATTGGTGAGGCACAGATCAAGACGGGTCTCATCAGGATATGTGGATTCTGCAACAGAGGTTCAAGAAATTGCTGATAGTCCACCTTCAAGTCCAGGACTGCAACATGTTGGTTCTCATCCACAACGTAATGGAAACACTTTCCACTCAGATGAGGTATCTTCCATATGTATGGTCATTTTTCAGTATTAAATTGCACATTCAGGCTTTTAATATGTGTATACTAGCTGACCATCTTACATTCTTATTGGGATGAAGTGGGGAGGTATATCTTCAGAGGAACATGATGAAGCAGTTATGCTTGAGGCTGCACTTTTTGGTGGAATTCCTGAGGGAACTGCTTATCATTTTTCTAGAGATATGGGTCCTTACCCTCGGCGTGTACCCCGTCCTCCATCCCCCACTTTGGCAGCACAGCGTTTACTACGAGAACAACAGGTCTTCCTTTCCTTTTGAGTGACAATGTTTATATTTATGTTATAATTTGTGGTACCATTAATGACAAAACCATGCTTGCAGGATGATGAATATCTTGCATCACTACAAGCAGATAGAGAAAAAGAATTGAAGGCCATGCAGGAAGCTGAAGCTCGCCGTTTAGCAGAACAAGCTGCCAGAGAAGCAGCCCTTGAAGAAGAAAAACGTAAGGAGGAAGAATGTAGGAGGAAATTGCTGGAAGAAGAGGTAGTGCCAATTAAATTTCTTAGTCATCCATCACTTAAGATGAGTGGTTACTTTGAATATATCTCTATAGATTTGTGTGCTTTTCTTTTTTGTGGCTAAAAGGGGATGGAAACGTGGGTGTGGTGGAGGGAGGGAAGTAAAGTGTTGGCATATTTGTGATTAATTCATAATGCTCTAGTCTATAGATTTTCTGTAGAGCAATGGGGTGAAATCTCCTTCGCTTAAAAAAGAAAAAAATGATGTTCAGTTTTACTGATCAAAGAAAAAGGACTATCATGCTTATTTGTTAACTCCTGCTTTATGTATATTCAGAATGTGCATATCTTTTTGCTAGCCCTCTTTGTAAGTAAAATTCCTTATTATGATCTCAAAGTTGTGTGCCTAAAATCACAATTTGAGAATGATCTTTTGAAATATCATCCATCTCATTGTGTTAAATGTTTGAAAAGATCTGATGAAGTAGAGAAACACACTAAAAGTATAAATTTGTTCATAAAGTTTCATAGATTGTTATAAGAAGTATAATTTTACATATTGATAAAAGAAAAACAAGTATAATTTTACATTTAAGACTCAAAAAAATAAAACATATCAAATAACTATATAAATCAACTAAGGCATTTATCTGTATCCCTTTTAGTCTTTTAGCCATCTTCTCTTTTATACGTCTTTCATTCAATTGCCATTTGGCTTGTTTTAACTATATGTTTTTATTAGATTAAGAATCATCTTTTGTAGTTTTTTTTTGAAATATAGTGAATTAGTACATGAATCATATGTAGGATATTAAGTTGATTGTCAACCATGAAAGTTCTATTTGTCCTTTAAGGAAAAAATTTTCAAAAAGCTTCAACGAATTTAACAAAATATCAGAAAGTCTCAGTGGTCTTCTAAAATTTAAATCTTAGTGACTTAATACATGAATCACATTTAGGGTAGTAAATCGATCATTAACTACAGAATTCCTATTTGTTCTTTCAGGGAAAAATTTTCAAAATATTAGAAAGTTACAGTGATGTTCTAAAACTTAAAATCTTAGATGTATAATTTATCAATGAAAGTATCATTAATATTTTTGCAATGTGTTTGAGGTGTGAGGCAAAAAAGATGAGCCTATGCCTTCTTTCTTGTTACCTTCTTTCTCAAGTGCAGTCTCTTCCTGGAGTAGGGTTTAGAAGGGGTCTCAAGGATGCTGAGTTGAGCAGTGTTTCAGTTTTACTTGATTATTTGGATGGTGTATTCTTGAACCCTTCAAAGTCAGATTATAGGATCTGGTATGTTGATTCTTCAGGTTCCTTGTCCCGTGCTTCTTTCTTCTTGGCCTTGACCCATCCTTTTGACAGTTCAGTGATGGTTTTTCTGGTTAAGGAGGTTTGGAACAAGCCTATTCCTCCTAGAGTTAGTGGTTTCTGTTGGGAAGTCTTAGTAGAAATCATTAATTGCAGATTTAGTTGAGTTTCTTGTGAAAGGAAAGAGGAGGAAGATGAAGATTTCAACAGTAGAGAAGAAAATAGTAGGAAGTCAACCAGGATTGTAAATTAACCCTAGCCACCAACCTCTCATTATATTTATACTTAACTTAAAGGATGAGATATTACAAGGATGCCCTTAGTAGGGCGGCTACTAATATAGCTGAATAGTCACAACTTAAAAAAACAAAAAGTAATGGGCATAAAGCCCACCAACTTCCTAACTAAATAAAAAACAACTCGGACCAACTCAACACTCCCCCTTAAGTTGGGAGTAAATGTCACACATTCCCAACTTGCATAGATCATGCTCCAATTTGTTCTTTGCAACACCTTTTGTGAGAATATCAACGAGCTGCAGATCAGAAGCAATGTATGGAAGACAAACTTCTCCAGAAGTTACCCTTTCTCTGATAAAATGTCTATCCACTTCAATGTGGTTAGTTCGGTCATGCTAGACTGGGTTATGGGCAATGCTAATTGCTGCCTGGTTATCGCAGTATAGCATCATAGGTTCTTCTGCCTGTACACCAATTTCTTCTAACAGGGAACGGATCCAGAGAAGTTCTGAAACTCCATGTGCCATGGCCCTGTATTCGGCTTCAACACTTGATCTTGCCACCACTGTTTGTTTCTTACTCTTCCATGAGACAAGGTTACCCCCAACAAGGGTGCACACTCCTGAAGTTGATCTCCTGTCATTGAGGCATCCTGCCCAATCTGCATCTGCATCTGCATCTGTATAAGCCTCTAGTTTCAACTGTCCATGATCAGTAAACAATATGCCTCTGCCCGGGTGTCCCTTCAGATAAGCAAGAATCCTGTCAACTGCCTCCCAATGCTGGACTCGTGGARCATGCATGTATTVACTTACYASACTTACTGYATAGGAAATGTCTGGTCTTGTCATACACAAGTATAACAGCCGACCCACAAGTCTCTGATATCTCCCAATGTCCTTTACTGGTTCACCTTCTGATGCATTGATTTTATGGTTATGATCAATAGGGGTGCCGATTGCCTTTGTTCCAAGCTTCCTTATATCTTGAAAAAGATCCAAGACATACTTCCTTTGAGTGAGAAAAATTCCATGTTTTGATCTTGCAACTTCAATGCCTAAGAAGTATCTCAGTTCTCCAAGATCCTTAATTTCAAATTCTTTATGTAGGTTCCTTTT